TACATGATAAAATATTCAAAAAAAAAAATTAAAACGTCTAAATTTTTAATAATGCTTTTACACAGTAATAAAAAAATTCTAGAAGCAGGAAGAGAGGACCGCCGCACTCAGACCAAAGTCACGTGTCCCCGATTCGCATCTTCCAAACCTACCCCTCCATGGATCCATCCACTCGCATTCCCCCTCCTATATGCTATATCAAACCTTCTCACGCGCCTCCAGCGCGTCATGCCTTCCCCCTCCGGAACTTTCATCGAAATTTTCATCCAATTTGCAAATGTTCAAAGTCCGCCGTGGCCCGGTTTCGTCCTACGTACTCGCTAAGAAACAAATTAATCAAAGTAAGTCTAACTCAACGCGGATTAATTAATCCCTCCAAAATAATACCAAACAAATTAACCCTTTTAAATCATCCTATATAAAACCAACTCCTTAATTAAATTAATCAACTGATATCACTCCCTCTCTCTCTCTTCCGAGATGGAGTTCTTCACCGGAGCTCGGGCGGTCAAACTCCGCAGCCACCTCGATAAGTACCTAGTCGCTGATGATGACCAAGAAAGGGTCCGACAATCCCGGAATGGTTCGTCCCAAAAAGCGCGATGGTTCGTCGAGGTAGTCGGAGACAAGAATGTTATCCGCCTGAAAAGTTGCCACGGTACGTACTTAACTGCCACCGATCAACCCTTTCTACTTGGGATGACGGGGAATAAGGTATTTCAAACAGTGCCCGAGAAGGTGACTGACTGGAATATCCAGTGGGAGCCGATTCGGGACGGGTTTCAGTTGAAGTTCAAGTCGTGGTGCGGGACGTATTTGCGCGGGAATGGAGGGACGCCTCCGTGGAGAAATTCTGTGACCCACGACGAGCCGCACACCGGGGCCACGAAGAATTGGGTTTTGTGGGATGTGGAGGTGGTGGAGGTTCCGGAATATGGGTCGGTCATGGAGTACTTGTCGTTTGTGTCGAGCTTTTCCTCCGTCTCGGAACAGGTGATGGAGGCGCTGAGTGACGAGGTTTCCGGGTCGGATCCTCAGTCGCCGGTTTCTGTCGTTAGTTCGTTGAAGTCACCGAAATTTTCAATTTTCTCAACTGGATCACCCAGATCGTTACCAAAACAGGTATGTTTCTTTTCTTACCATATTATGCATCCTGCTAAATTTGCTACTAGTAGATCTTTAATTATGAGAAAATTTTGGTGCCTCTAATCCTCAATTAATTAATCTCATTAGCTCATTGATATATTATTAGGAATTCATGATTATAAGGTAGATTATATATTAAAAATACAATATGCCTTATAAATTTAGTAAAATATTATTAATGAAATAATATAAAAAATAATTTTATTAAAAATATTTTAATAATTTTATATTTCAATATTATTAATTCAAGCAACTAACTTTTAATATATATATATATATATATAATCAATGTTCAAATGAATGCAGTGTTGCCATAATTGACTTCTTCCTTAATGGTTAACTCCATATCATATGTTTCTCTTTGAAATTGAAATCAATTGTTAAAAAGAAATCTTTGTTGGTAATAGGATGTAATACTGTAAAACTATAATTATTGAATATGGGTCCACTTCTGCAAATTACATATCTCTTATTTGAAGGTTATAATTTTACACTCACAAGATAGTAAAACACTTATTTTTTATTTTTTAAGGTTTTAGTAGTATGATCACTTAATCAAAATAAGGTTAAACAGTAAGAAAAAGCATGGTTTGAACGTTGTTGGTAATTAACCAGGCAATTAAGGAAGAAGTATTGAAATTGATGGTGATATGAAAACAATGGCTTGTTTTTGAAAAGAAGTTTTGAGGGATAAGTATTACTAGTTAGCTAGCAATGGTGTGAATTTGATGACTTGTAGGATTTGCCTAACTTGTCGATGCGACATATTCTATCCATGATTTATGAATAATCTAAAACATTGACCAATACCACACGTATCCTAGCTTCTAAACAATAGATATGTATCCTTCACGCATACCATAGATCAATAGATTTACATTGCTTGTATGAACCTTAAAAGGCTCGAAAAAAAAATTAACACATGTATAAATGTTTTTGGTTTGGGAGGATGTAGTGTAGTCTAGATAAAATCCTCACCAACCGATACGCACTAAAACGAGAGGAAGGACAATAGGTCACTCAAGTCCCCGAAAGCAGTCCATTCTGCTCTTATATTGCCAGAGAAATGCATGCACCACCAAATAAAGCAAGATTGGCACTGGTCTGGTCTACAGTATTTGCTCCCTTTTTAGTGTCACTGTTTATAGCAATTAGCAACACAGTGAGTGAATCTTGCCCTCAATTAGTGGGCAAATGTCTTCGTCATGGTTTTTTGAATATGACTGTGAAAACCACTAGGGATTTTTACACTCAATAATTTTGTGTCTAGACGCTAGGTATCTACTATCTATCGTCTAATGCTTCTATGAATCATCATGCACTCTAGAAGGGAAATTAAGCCAATAATTTACTTCGTAGTTAGAGAAAGAGAGAAAGGAATCGTACGTGCATTTGATTGATTATTCCATGCTTTTGTTTTTCCAGGAACCCCTTTAAGGTACTAATACTTTCATCACAAAAAGTCTTCTATGGCCTCGTCTTTTATAAAAAAAAAAAAAAAATTAGTTGAGAGTGAGGAAATGAAATTGATATTGACCCCTATCTTATAGTTAGGCTCTTTAAATGTGACATGGTCCATTTCATTGATGATTGATATTAGGCAAATTGCTTCTTTTTTTGTTTTAAAATGATTATTACTTTAAATTTTTTTTTTTAGATTAAAGATTTAGAATAATATTTATATTTATTTATAATATGTTTTAAATAGAAAATAATTTTTTTTTTTGTGATTGAATGATTAATTAAAATAAATAAGTAATGATTAAATTATAGTAATAAAAAATGTTTGTTTGTTTAAAAAATAAAAAAATAATTATTAATTTAAAATAAATTTAAAGTAAAAAAAAAAGAAGAAAAAGATAGGGAGTAATAATATATGCAGCTGAATGAAAAGTTTCCCAAAATCAGTCCAGTTGGGTCTAAAACACGTTTTCGGTCTAGAGTGTAGCCACTTGGCACCGGTCCTGAGCTAGCATGCACATATTGACTATTGAGGCTTGAATTGAACTAACCTTGATATGGGTTCATTTAAGTGCCTATGTGGTACTGCTGTACTCCCGCGTGACTACGAGTATTACTCATTCTGTTT